TTTCCAGGTTTCTGGAAAACCAGTTTTCCAGAGACCGACTAGAAAACGCCTGCGGGGGGAAAACGGCTATCATATTCGGCATTAGCATGGTCGATTACCTATTGTCCACTAGGTTTTAAGCCAAAAGCGATGGGGCAGTTGGTGGCCTTCCCTCGTTAGAATCAAAATCAAATGCATTCTTTTGCATCTCGAATATGCCGGAAAATCGATGTAATGTTGGAAAATCGATCGAAATAAAACGAATTTCTGTCGAAGATTTAGCCATTCTGTTTATTTCCGTATTTGGACCGAAAACTTCATGTATAAGATCGTAAATCAATTCGTTAACTTGCAAATAAATACACTAAAGAGAACAGATGATGCAAACTTGTGAGTTTCTCATCATGCGGAATCAATTTAATGAAATGTTAAGAATATCTAGCTCACGTCATTTAAGAGAAGTGCTGACAAAATTAAACTTTAAGAGACTGAGAGTTGATATTTCTGGGATGGGTCGAAAATATTTATCCTCATTTTTCGTTTCTGCTAACAGGAACAAGAGTGTGGGTTTTCTGCACTTACCTGAGGATGATTGATAGTTTTTAATACAGTAGATTTCCATTGTTCTAACTGTTGTGCCAGACTTGTATGATTAAATAAAGTTTCAGTTTTCATAAATAGCAATACCGCTAACCACAATTGCATTTCTATTTTCGTAATGTGAATCATTAATGTTAATTGCGCACGGACATTAATATCTGAACTGTCTCGCTGAACAATAACAGCCAATGCTGTGAACCCCTTGTGTGGAAAGGATATTTTCAACTTTTCGCCGTAATAATTGGAAAAATTCATAATAACAACCGAAGGCATGTTTCTAAAATGTAAATAAAAATGAAAGTTAGTGAAGTTTTCATGTGCTATCGAGTTCTTTAGAGGGCTGTTCCTATTGGTATGGCGAAAATTTGAACGGAATGGGGAACGTTTTTTTGTCGTTGACGTTGCCAACTGTTAATAGTATTTCAGCAGTGGTGCAAGATTCTTCAGTGAATTTCTTTCGGTTAAATCTTAACTTGGATGCTGTCAGAAATGCTTACAACTTTACCTTTTTTTGTTGTTTTTCTTCTGATTCTCCTCCTTATCTGATGGTCCATACGATACCTAGGATAGAAGAAAGACTGTATGTCCAAAATTTTAAAAGACTGTGAGTGTAGGAGACTATATGTCTAAAAGACTGTGAATCTGGAGGCCTAAAAGACTGTATACCTACAACTCTAAGAGACTGTATGCTTAAAAGACTGTTTATCTCAAAGTATAAAGGGTCTGTATGTTTGAAAAACTGTAGACGCTAAAGGTCTTTTGAAAGTCTAAAATAGACTGTAAGAAGATGAATTTGTCAAGCTGTGTATCCATCATTGGCAAGTTTCCAGTAGTAGGGGGAGAAAATTTGACCTTGTAGAGAAGAATAGCAAGAAAAAAATGGAAATTGAAAAGCTCGGCTTTGTCTACATCTGTAGAAACAGATTTAGATCCAAGAAACATAGATTGAGGTAGCGTGGAATGAGTAGAGGATAATTTTTTGATAGAGCTCCAGAACTCGCGAGGATCGGAAAACAAAAAGGATAGAGAACGGAGATAAGAAGATTTTTCACGACGGTAAAGAGTAAGAACAAGATTCCTTGCCTTACGAAATTCGGCAAGGTTAGAAGCAGTGTAGCGACGTTTAAGTTTATGAAAGCGTCGAGTACGAACAGAAATAAGATGCACAAGTTTGAGTGAAGGAGAGAGAAGAGAAGATAGAGTACGAAGAGGCACCAGTGGAACAAATCTACAGATAGCATCGTTTACGTGCCCAGTCCAAATATGGACAGCCCATGTCGACTATCGCGATGAAGTCGCGATAAAAAGTCGAGGAGCAAACGCGTAACGCGATCGCTTATAGACTCGCGAAATTTCTAACTAATTTCGCGGTCGCTATAAAGTCGCGATGAAACGCGAGTTTTTCCATACATTCGCTATAATCGCTACGCGACTCGCGTTTTTTATCAGTTAATCAATCGCGATTTTCCTTTCTCGCGGTGCGAGTCCTGCTGTCGCAGCGCGACTCTCTTTCGACTTGCGAGAAAGTCGCGATTTGTATAAATTCGCTCGCAATAGCTGTTTTCTGCTTTTATCTTTGTTTTTAACTGTCCTAGTGATCGGTTCTGATATAAGAATCTTCCAAGCATCTTATAATAATCTTACT